GTGCAAATTTGGAACTAATCCCTCTACGACTTTCCAGGTGTATATTTTCAAGGACCTGCTAATTTCGGGTTCATTTATTTAAATACATATCTATCTATATCTTTTTTTTTTCAACATACCGGCCATATCCCACCGAAGCAGGGTGACCTGAAAAGGAAAACGAAAGTTTCTCTTTTTAATTTTAAATTTGCTAGCCCCTTGCTCCCGGCAGTTTAGTCGCCTTTTACGACACGCATGGCTTATGGAGCAAGAATTCTGTTCCATATAATATATATATATATATATATATATATATATTATATATATATATATATATATATATATATATATATATATATATATATATATAGGTAGTAGGTTGGTAGAAAAGCAAAACCCCCCAGGGAAGTACTACGTCCTGCCAGATGACTGTGAAACAGAAACCTGTAACTGTTTTGCATGATGGTAGGGTTGCTGGTTTCTTTTTCTGTCTCATAAACACGCTAGATAACAGGGATATCTTGCTACTCCTACTTACACTTTGGTCACACTTGACAGAACACGCACATGCATATATATATACATACATCTAGGTTTTTCTCCTTTTTCCAAATAGCTCTTGTTCTTCTGTATTTCTTCTATTGTCCATGGGGAAGTGGAAAAGAATCTTTCCTCCGTAAGCCATGCGTGTCGTATGAGGCGACTAAAATGCCGGGAGCAATGGGCTAGTAACCCCTTCTCCTGTAGACACTTACTAAAAAAGAGAAGAAGAAAAACTTTATAAAACTGGGATGCTTAAATGTGCGTGGATGTAGTGCGGATGACAAGAAAAAAGATGATTGCTGATGTTATGAATGAAAAGAAGTTGGATGTCCTGGCCCTAAGCGAAACAAAGCTGAAGGGGTAGGAGAGTTTCAGGGGGGAAATAAATGGGATTTAAAACTGGAGTATCTGAGAGAGTTAGAGCAAAAGAAGGGTAGCAGTAATGTTAAATGATCAGTTATGGAAAGGAGAAAAGAGAATATGAATGTGTAAATTCAAGAATTATGTGGATTAAAGTAAAGGTTGGATGCAAGAAGTGGGTCATAATAAGCGTGTATGCACCTGGAGAAGAGAGGAATGCAGAGGAGAGAGAGAGATTTTGGGAGATGTTAAGTGAATGTATAGGAGCCTTTGAACCAAGTGAGAGAGTAATTGTGGTAGGGGACCTGAATGCTAAAGTAGGAGAAACTTTTAGAGAGGGTGTGGTAGGTAAGTTTGGGGTGCCAGGTGTAAATGATAATGGGAGCCCTTTGATTGAACTTTGTATAGAAAGGGGTTTAGTTATAGGTAATACATATTTTAAGAAAAAGAGGATAAATAAGTATACAAGGTATGATGTAGGCGAAATGACAGTAGTTTGTTGGATTATGTATTGGTAGATAAAAGACTGTTGAGTAGACTTCAGGATGTACATGTTTATAGAGGGGCCACAGATATATCAGATCACTTTCTAGTTGTAGCTACACTGAGAGTAAAAGGTAGATGGGATATCAAGGAGAATAGAAGCATCAGGGAAGAGAGAGGTGAAGGTTTATAAACTAAAAGAGGAGGCAGTTAAGGTAAGATATAAACAGCTATTGGAGGATAGATGCGCTAATGAGAGCATAGGCAATGGGGTCGAAGAGGTATGGGGTAGGTTTAAAAATGTAGTGTTAGAGTGTTCAGCAGAAGTTTGTGGTTACAGGAAAGTGGGTGCGGGAGGGAAGAGGAGCGATTGGTGGAATGATGATGTAAAGAGAGTAGTAAGGGAGAAAAAGTTAGCATATGAGAAGTTTTTACAAAGTAGAAGTGATGCAAGGAGGGAAGAGTATATGGAGAAAAAGAGAGAGGTTAAGAGAGTGGTGAAGCAATGTAAAAAGAGAGCAAATGAGAGAGTGGGTGAGATGTTATCAACAAATTTTGTTGAAAATAAGAAAAAGTTTTGGAGTGAGATTAACAGGTTAAGAAAGCCTAGAGAACAAATGGATTTGTCAGTAAAAAATAGGAGAGGAGAGTTATTAAATGGAGAGTTAGAGGTATTGGGAAGATGGAGGGAATATTTTGAGGAATTGTTAAATGTTGATGAAGATAGGGAAGCTGTGATTTCGTGTATAGGACAAGGAGGAATAACATCTTGTAGGAGTGAGGAAGAGCCAGTTGTGAGTGTGGGGGAAGTTCGTGAGGCAGTAGTAAAATGAAAGGGGGTAAGGCAGCCGGGATTGATGGATAAAGATAGAAATGTTAAAAGCAGGTGGGGATATAGTTTTGGAGTGGTTGGTGCAATTATTTAATAAATGTATGGAAGAGGGTAAGGTACCTAGGGATTGGCAGAGAGCATGCATAGTTCCTTTGTATAAAGGCAAAGGGGATAAAAGAGAGTGCAAAAATTATAGGGGGATAAGTCTGCTGGAGTATACCTGGTAAAGTGTATGGTAGAATTATTATTGAAAGAATTAAGAGTAAGACGGAGAATAGGATAGCAGATGAACAAGGAGGCTTTAGGAAAGGTAGGGGGTGTGTGGACCAGGTGTTTACAGTGAAACATATAAGTGAACAGTATTTAGATAAGGTTAAAGAGGTCTTTGTGGCATTTATGGATTTGGAAAAGGCGTATGACAGGGGGGATAGGGGGGGCAATGTGGCAGATGTTGCAAATGTAGGTGTAGGAGGTAGGTTACTGAAAGCAGTAAAGAGTTTTTACGAGGATAGTGAGGCTCATGTTAGAGTTTGTAGAAAGAGGAAAATTTAATTTCCCATAAAAGTGGCCTTAGAAAAGGGATGTGTGATGTCACCGTGGTTGTTTAATAATTTATAGATGGGTTGTAAGAGAAGTAAATGCGAGGGTCTTGACAAGAGGCGTGGAGTTAAAAGATAAAGAATCACAACACAAAGTGGGAGTTGTCACAGCTGCTCTTTTCTGATGACACTGTGCTCTTGGGAGATTCTGAAGAGAAGTTGCAGAAAATTGTGGATAATTTGGTAGGGTGTGCAAAAGAAGAAAATTAAAAGTGAATACAGGAAAGAGTAAGGTTATGGGGATAACAAAAAGATTAGGTGATGAAAGATTGAATATCAGATTGGAGGGAGAGAGTATGGAGGAGGTGAATGTATTCAGATATTTGGGAGTGGACGTGTCAGCGGATGGGTCTATGAAAGATGAGGTGAATCATAGAATTGATGAGGGAAAAAGAGTGAGTGGTGCACTTAGGAGTCTGTGGAGACAAAGAACTTTGTCCTTGGAGGCAAAGAGGGGAATGTATGAGAGTATAGTTTTACCAACGCTCTTATATGGGTGTGAAGCATGGGTGATGAATGTTGCAGCGAGGAGAAGGCTGGAGGCAGTGGAGATGTCATGTCTGAGGGCAATGTGTGGTGTGAATATAATGCAGAGAATTCGTAGTTTGGAAGTTAGGAGGAGGTGCGGGATTACCAAAACTGTTGTCCAGAGGGCTGAGGAGGGATTGTTGAGGTGGTTCGGACATGTGGAGAGAATGGAGCGAAACAGAATAACTTCAAGAGTGTATCAGTCTGTAGTGGAAGGAAGGCGGGTAGGGGTCGGCCTAGGAAAGGTGGAGGGAGTGGGTAAAGGAGGTTTTGTGTGCGAGGGCTTGGACTTCCAGCAGGCATGCGTGAGCGTGTTTGATAGGAGTGAATGGAGACAAATGGTTTATAATACTTGACGTGCTGTTGGAGTGTGAGCAAAGTAACATTTATGAAGGGGTTCAGGGAAACCGGCAGGCCGGACTTGAGTCCTGGAGATGGGAAGTACAGTGCCTGCACTCTGAAGGAGGGGTGTTAATGTTGCAGTTTAAAAACTGTAGTGTAAAGCACCCTTCTGGCAAGACAGTGATGGAGTGAATGATGGTGAAAGTTTTTCTTTTTCGGGCCACCCTGCCTTGGTGGGAATCGGCCAGTGTGATAATAAAATAATAAATATATATATATATATATATATATATAAATATATATATATATATATATATATATATATATATATATATATATATATATATATATGTATATATATATATATATAACAACACTGCACTTGCCAAGGACTCGAACCCATGCTGCTTTAGCCTGCCTCATGGTGGGCGAAAACACATGATGCCCTAATCCACTGGACCATACGATCCTTAAGAGTAGCGCTCCTGCGGAACTGAATGTTGTTCTCGCTACCCAAGGACACACGATGGTGTGGATGACTCTAGGCTAATTTAATTCTAGTCCCTATTTGGTGTACTAGTTCAACGAGCAGTATTTTTATATTATTGTGACCACGAACGAGTGGTATTGATCAATAACAACACTGCACTAGCCAAGGACTCGAACCCATGCTGCTTTGGCCAGTGGATTAGGGCGTCATTGTTTTTTGCCCACCAATGAGGCAGGCCAAAGCAGCATGAGTTGGAGTCCTTGGCTAGTGCAGTGTTGTTATTGATCAATACCACTCATTCGTGGACACAATAATATATATATATATATAATATATATATATATATATATAAATATATATATATATATATATATATATATATATATATATATATATATAAACAGCTGTGTGCACTCAATACCACTTTAAAAGTTGTTTATTATGTATATAATACTGAAATATAAACTTATTAAATCTAAAAAAAAAACATACCACGGGTGGGGTTGGAACCCGCGATCAGAGTCTCAAAACTCCAGACCGTCGCGTTAGCCACTGGACCAGCTAGCCACAATAAGGTTCGTCCAACTAGGTATATTTCTACACCATAGGAAGGTTAGCATAGGCACCACTGTGACCACAAATGCAAGCGCCTATGCTAACCTTCCTAATAGTGTATAAATATACCTAGTTGGATGAATCTTATTGTGGCTAGCTGGTCCAGTGGCTAACGCGACGGTCTGGAGTTTTGAGTCTCTCTGATCGCGGGTTCTAATCCCCGTCCGTTGCATGGTTTGTTTGCAATCGTGTCATTACGATTTCGTGAGTCTTATTAAATCTAATTTCAGGGATGGATATAGATTCCTCCTGGAGCGCCTCCGTAGTGAGCTGCAACAGAACAAGGTCCTCTACGGATTTTTCATCCGCAATCAAGTCATCTACAATAAGAAACCAGATATTGTTGAAAAGTTCTGCAAAGACATAAGTGAGGTGTACTTCTGGACCCCGAGCGTGGTAAAAGATAAAGTACAGCAATATATTGGATGTTAAATACCCTCTGGAAGAAGCAATCAGCCATTTTGCAGTATATATTATTATATTAGCTTATATATTCATGTATTGTCGTCTGTAGGACAGCTCTAAATTTTTCTGACGTTTATTTTACAGTTCAAAGCGAGAATTATGACTTGAATTAAACATTGTAACCTGGTCCAATAGCAGTGTCTCCTGACACGAACCATAATTAAATATTGTAACCTGGTTCAACACAGTGTCTCCTGACACGAACCATAATTAAATATTGTAACCTGGTTCAACAACAGTGTTTCCTGACACGAACCATAATTAAATATTGTAACGTGGTTCAACAACAGTGTCTCCTGACACGAACCATAATTAAATATTGTAACCTGGTTCAACAACAGTGTCTCCTGACACGAACCATAATTAAATATTGTAACCTGGTTCAACAACAGTGTCTCCTGACATTGTTGTTGATGATTAACCACTGTTTAGTGGCTAATAATCTCCGGGCCTTCCCTGATAATTTTTACAGACCATTAAAAAAGGATAGGTTAAACACAGAAGCAACTAAGTACTTTAAAGGTTACTATCAGAGTTACTGAGGTAGAATCATCTCCTGTAACTTGAAAAGTTACTATCAGAGTTACTGAGGAAGAGTCATCTCCTGTAACTTGAAAAGTTACTATCAGAGTTACTGAGGGAGAGTCATCTCCTGTAACTTGAAAAGTTACTATCAGAGTTACTGAGGGAGAGTCATCTCCTGTAACTTAAAAAGTTACTATCAGAGTTACTGAGGGAGAGTCATCTCCTGTAACTTGAAAAGTTACTATCAGAGTTACTGAGGGAGAGTCATCTCCTGTAACTTGAAAAGTTACTATCAGAGTTACTGAGGGAGAGTCATCTCCTGTAACTTAAAAAGTTACTATCAGAGATACTGAGGGAGAGTCATCTCCTGTAACTTGAAAAGTTACTATCAGAGTTACTGAGGTAGAATCATCTCCTGTAACTTGAAAAGTTACTATCAGAGTTACTGAGGGAGAGTCATCTCCTGTAACTTGAAAAGTTACTATCAGAGTTACTGAGGGAGAGTCATCTCCTGTAACTTGAAAAGTTACTATCAGAGATACTGAGGGAGAGTCATCTCCTGTAACTTGAAAAGTTACTATCAGAGTTACTGAGGTAGAATCATCTCCTGTAACTTGAAAAGTTACTATCAGAGTTACTGAGGGAGAGTCATCTCCTGTAACTTGAAAAGTTACTATCAGAGTTACTGAGAGAGAGTCATCTCCTGTAACTTTAAAAGTTACTATCAGAGTTACTGAGGTAGAATCATCTCCTGTAACTTGAAAAGTTACTATCAGAGTTACTGAGGGAGAGTCATCTCCTGTAACTTGAAAAGTTACTATCAGAGTTACTGAGGGAGAGTCATCTCCTGTAACTTGAAAAGTTACTATCAGAGTTACTGAGGGAGAGTCATCTCCTGTAACTTGAAAAGTTACTATCAGAGTTACTGAGGGAGAGTCATCTCCTGTAACTTGAAAAGTTACTATCAGAGTTACTGAGAGAGAGTCATCTCCTGTAACTTGAAAAGTTACTGTCAGAGTTACTGAGGGAGAGTCATCTCCTGTAACTTGAAAAGTTACTATCAGAGTTACTGAGAGAGAGTCATCTCCTGTAACTTTAAAAGTTACTATCAGAGTTACTGAGGTAGAATCATCTCCTGTAACTTGAAAAGTTACTATCAGAGTTACTGAGGGAGAGTCATCTCCTGTAACTTGAAAAGTTACTATCAGAGTTACTGAGGGAGAGTCATCTCCTGTAACTTGAAAAGTTACTATCAGAGTTATTGAGGGAGAGTCATCTCCTGTAACTTGAAAAGTTACTATCAGAGTTACTGAGAGAGAGTCATCTCCTGTAACTTGAAAAGTTACTATCAGAGTTACTGAGAGAGAGTCATCAGATATTAAACTTTGTATGCTTAAACATGTTGCATAATATTGCATGATTTGTTCCTTTGATTGTTATAATATATTCATCTGAGTTTCACTATAATCGATATTCCTGTTTGTTTCATTATGTTTTTCTTGATTATAATTGTTATGTAGGTATTAGTAGTGCTTATATGATATACGGTATTTGTTGTTAATCACTTGTTTTTTGTTAGAGGCATATTATATATGTACAAATAATAATAAAAGTAACTTTATTAGTGTAATTCCACCTCGTTGGGGGATGCAATGATATGAATATTTTTGTTATCTTATTATAGTGTTATATTTCACTGTTTCTTTGTACAACTACCGCCAGCGCGGCGCCATTTTGAGTTACGTAGCTAGGTGTGCTGGGTCAGGTCAAGTCGCGGGAGTACTGAGTCTAAAAGATCCGCATAGCTTATTCATGACACAGAGTCAGGGTGAGTTTGATTGGCCAATAGAAGGGTGTTGACCTGGTCGGCGTCTTTTTTATGGGTTAAGCACACAAAAGCAATGGAATGATTCATGCTGGTTAATTCTTTTTTTCTTCTTATGCTTATGTATAAGGCAGTGCATGCGTGCATTGCTATATAAATATAAGGCAAACTCGAAAATTGGTAACAACAAACTGGTTCTCAAAGATCGATTGGGACAGCCGGGTACAGTTGTCTGCTCCACCAGAGATTGAGATCTTCTAAGACAGCCTTTTCCGTGTATCTGCTAGGTTCCGGCCACTTCATTGAAACACAAGTGCCTTATTCCATCAGTCTCTCTGGGACGCTTGTCCTCATCTTGTAATGCCAGTTGGTGCCTTACAGGAGTGGCACCATTCACTAGCTTAATTTTCCTACTCAGTGAGGTTGTAGGCATTCCACTCTTCTAGGCTTGGTAGCCTAAGGATGGATCCGCCTGGCCTTCTTGGGAACTTCTAGTTCCGGTTTCTATTTGCACCTGTACCTAAATAAACTTACATTGGGAAGTAGGATTCGATACGTGGTTACCTGCCCTTAGAAACCCCCAAGAAAGTCTTCGATATACAAAATTTCTGCGGACCTGCTGCCAGGTGCTCTACACTGCGACCAGCAGCACGCCCTCACATCCGTTTTGTAATTTAGCTTTTGAGGTTGATGAGAGCAGCAAGGTTGCAAGATAAACTCACATCTGATATGCAGTGTGGAATGTGTGCAAGCTCAGGCAGAAATTACAAAAAAAGAAAATAGTGGTAATAAGATATCATTTTTATAGATGGTATTCCTTAATGTACTGTGTGCAACAACCGTATTAAGTAATTGTAAGATATTACATGACTAATATTTCCTTCTAGTGATGTAACATTGCTCAGCGAAGTCTGACAAGGACCCATCGTGACCTCTTGTTATGTTGTTGTTTACGCTACTGCTCGCAGGATGAGCTGCTGGTGAAAAATAAACGCTAAAATGATAGGATGGATAATGAGAACCTTCAAAACTAGGGATGCCAAGCCCATAATGACACTCTGCAGGTCGCTTGTTCTATCTACGTTGGAATATTGTTGCATGCTAACAACACCTTTCAAGGCAGATGAAATCGCTGACCTAGAAAATGAACAGAGAACCTTCACGGCGCGCATAACTGTGATAAAACACCTCAGTTACTGGGAATGCTTCAAGTACCTCAACCTGTACTCCCTAGAACACAGGCGGGAGAGATACATGATTATATACACTTTGAAAATCCTAGAGAGATTAGTGCCAAACTTGCACACGAAAATCACTCCCTATGAAAGCAAAAGACTCGACAGACGATACAACATCCCCCCAATGAAAAGCAGGGGTGTCACTAGCACAATAAGAAAAAACAAAATAAGTGTGAGGGGCCCAAGACTGTTCAACTGCCTCCCAGGATACATAAGAGGAATTACCAATAGACCCCTGGCTGTCTTCAAGAAGACGCTGGACAGGCACCTAAAGTCAGTACCTGACCAACCGGGCTGTGGTTCGCACGTCGGGTTGCGTGCGGCCAATATGAGAACATAAGAAAGAAGGAACACTGCAGCAGGCCTGTTGGCCCATACTAGGCAGGTACTTTACAATTCATCCCACTAACAAACATTTGACCAACCCAAAAAGTAACAGCCTGGTTGATCAGGCCCTGGTTCACCATGAGGCCTGGTCACAGACGGCCGCGGAGGCGTTGACCCCCGAAATTCTCTCCAGGTAAGGCGGCACAACTAACCAGGCCAGGGCCCTCATGGCTTGAGAGAGCAGGAACTGAGCCAGCCGTCTCTAGAAAGTCGGGCAGGACATTGAGAGGCAGGGCGCGCAGCCTTAAGGCCTTAAGGCCTAGTTGAACTTTGCCCACCAGGGGGCAGGCAGACTATCCAGGCGGCTGGCGCCAATCTTAAATGCCAATTAAGACTGCTAGAATCCGGCTTACACTTTCTTCACTTTATCCTCTTCCATCTTGCTCCTTCATCCTCTTCCATCTTGCTCCTTCATCTCCTATACTCTCTCTATCCACTATACACTTATTTTCTTTATTTCTCTGCTTATTCTGAGATATCCTCTTCAACTCGTGTCACTTCACAAACACCAAGTGTCCTCCGCACATCCTGTGGCCTGTGCTGTTTCAACTGAGTAAAGTCTGGTCGAGGAGAGTACTTAAATATCTTGTATTCCTCAAAAGGAATTAGGTCTGAGTTAGTGAGGTGTGGGATTAAGATATGGAGAATCTAACACAAAGCAGGATTTGTTTTTTGCTGATTGGGGAGATTCTTAACAAAAATTGCAGAGGTTGATGGACGAGTTTAACAGGGTATGCAAAAAAAGGAAATTAAAAGCGAACACAGGAAATAGCAAGGTGATGAGAATAACAAAAAAAAATTTAAGTAATGCATGATTGGGTATTAGACTGGAGGGAGAGAAACGAGTAAGTGAATGTATTCAGATATTTGGAGTGGACCTGTCAGCAGATGGTCTATGAGAGACAAAGTGTATCATTGAATTAATGAGAGGAAAAGATGAGTGGTGCATGTAGGAGTCTGTGGAGACAAAGAATGTTAACCATGGAAGCAAAGAAGGGAACATATGAGAGCATAGAGGTACTATCACTCTTATATGGGCGTGCAGCATGGGTGGTAAATGGTGTAACAAGAAGGCAGGCAGTGGAGATATGTCTGAGGGCAGTGTGTGGTGCGAATATTATGCAGAGAATCTGTAGCTTAGAGATTAGGAAGTATTATCCAGAAGGCTGAGGAGGGGTTATTGAAGAGGTTCATACATTTAGAGAAGATAGAATGAAATAGAATGACTTGGAGGGCGCATAAATTTGTAGTGGAAGGAAGGCGGGTTATGGATCGTCCTAGGAAAGGTTGGAAGAAGGGGGTAAAAGAGATTTTGTGTGCGAAGGGCTTAGACTTCCAGTGTGTGTGAGTATGTTAGGAGCGAATGAAGGCAAATGGTTTATATGACTTGATGTGCTGTTGGAGTGTGAGCCAGGTAACATTTATGATGAGATTCAGAAAAACCGTTCAGCCAGCGCTCTGAGGGAAATAAGTTGCAGTTATTGAACTGTAGTGTAGGCACGCCTCTGGCAAGACAGTGAAGGAGTAAATGATGATGAGTTTCTTCTTCGGGTCATCCTACCTCGGTGGGAAACGGCTGATGTATTAATAAATAATGATAAAAAATTAGTCTTAAATTACATGCATGTTAGCATCTTATGCTCTTTCGTTTACTTGGCAGGTGAGACAATTTTCTCTGAGGCATCATGGCTTTCAGAGTTAAACTTATAATCCATAGCTTTCACAAAATACCAAAGGAACAAATAGTCGCAGGTCTATGGACAGGCGACTATTGTCCCACTAGAAATTATGCAACACGAGATGGGGCTATCGTTGTAAACAATGAGGAAGAAGTACGGTGAAGAAGAACTGGTTAACGACTTAAATAGAGCAAGTGAGGGACTGAAGGTCATAGAGTTTATAAAATTCTTAATCCAACAACTAATCATACTGTCATCAAGATAATATTAACAAGCCTGAACATTGCTCAGTATGACAAAAACAAGAGACCTTTGTTCTGGGTCATGCTGTGGAACCCCAACAGACATCTAGGGAACGTCACTGAGAGATTCAGCATTGTTTCAAATGCCTCAAATTTGATCTCTCCACAAATTCCTTCTTACTAGGGAAAAGTGCAGCATTTGTTCGGAACTTCACAACTACAGGTATGTACCAACAAGACTAACCGCAAATGTGCTCTCTCTCTCTCTCTCTCACTCTCCCTCTCTCTCTCTCTCTCCTCTCTCCTCTCCTCTCCTCACTCTCTCTCCCTCTCTCTCTCTCTCTCTCTCTCTCTCTTTTTTCTCTGCTCTCAGAACCACACTGCAGTTTCCTTCCAGTTTCCAGTGCATAAGGTAGAAATAAGGGTTAGTGAGAATGGCAAGGCACACACCAGCAACCTGCTGTAAAAAAATTATCGAGTATGTTGAGGATCGTACCTTCTTTCCTTCTTTACAAAGTACCAGCAATGCTACTCAATCCAACTCACGCAACAGTTCCTGGACAAACAGACCCTACATTCATTCCTCTTCCTAATAATACTAAGCTTCAAGTTTTGGGGCAGACATTCATCCCATAAAGTGTTTCTACCAGCTGTGGATGGCAAATAAAATCACCAATGATGTTAGCTGTCGCAGAGACAGTTTCAAATTTTTAATGATATTTTGTACTGTGATCGTATTTCATCTATTAAATATCCTGAGCCAATTTTATTATACACAAAATTAGGTATAAATACAGTGCCTGACTCTCAGTAACTACATCAACAATTACTATTAATGTCAAGGTGGAAACTCTATAAAATTTTCTTTAGAATTTCTTTAAATTGATTGAGAATTATGATATAACAGTGATCAACTATATGTTTGAGGACAACACAATTTAAGGTAGTCATATTGCTTCACGTGTTGTTTATTAATTTTACTTCATAACGCCTCTCCGAAGATTTACGATTCATATTTGGCCAAATAAAATAACCATATACTTGGTGTACACTGGCACAAGAGAACATGGGAAGCCATCTTTGTCAACGAAGTGAAGAGTTTGTAGTCTTGTATCCTACTGCTGCGTTCTATTTGTCCACCACGTCCCCTATTTCACTTCTTCCTGTTTAGGCTCGCCTTGTAGAAGCATATACTTTCTAGAAATCGTCATAAATTAGAGCTTCATGTGAGTAACAATGCACCAGA